ACCCTGAATTCTTGGTAATTTTACCCTTTCCTTAGTAAATACACCGATATTTTTTTTTTCAGTGTGTACACAATTTTTTCCATGTTTTATTTTTATATTTTTTCATACATAATCGTATTTTCACCACTGTTTTAGGGGGGTTTTGGATAAAGCAAATATATTATATATCTCTCAGAACGTTTATGACTCCTAAAGAGGGTTATTCATATAGGCGAAAAATGTACCCAGCCCGGAATGTACGAAACTTTGTAGGCTGATAGTACTAGTTGAGAGAGGCTTATCCCTAGCTCCGTTTTTGCAGGAACCCCAGGGAAACAGCGTTGCCATTTTTTAAAGTCGTAACCTTCAAACATCCATAACTTTCGCAAAAATGCAGTTACAGAGCTCGTATTTACACCAAAAAACGCAAAAAATTACGTTCTATCGACCTATGCAAAAGAAATTTTAATTTGACTCCACTGTTGCCACGTTTCGGTCATTTTTTTAATTTTCGTAATTATTTAAAATCACGTTACCGCCTAAAAAAGTGTTTGCGGTTGGTGGGGATTGAATAAAAACCTGTCGGAATTATTGTTCGTTCGATTCCGCATCCATTGATATATTATACTTTTCTGAGAGACTTAGGGAACACGAGTTATAGCGATTTAAAAATTCGTCAACACGCCCGACGCCCGATATTGACGCTCGTTTCGGTACGTTTCGCGACTCCGTGTTAAAGCAAAACGCCTAGACCAAGCAAAATTCGAAAAGTCAGCCCATGATTTGCACTTTTTTGAAACTTTTACACGATTTTTAAGAATTCAAGTAGCGGCGGTGTTGCCGGTTTTCAATGAAAACCACCGCTGCGATCACAATTTAAAGTAGTACTCATTTAATCACGTTCAACTAACCTAAACTGACCATTTGCGACATGGTGTTCACAACATTGCCTAATTTCCGTCTGAATTCGCGTAGAGGCGGGGTTGCCAGTTTTCATGGAAACCGCCACCGCAATCACAAAAAAAATGTATTACTTATTTAATCACGTTCAGCGTTATTCTGTAGTTGGAATTGTTTATTTATCGAATCGATGGTTTCTGCAATCTCTCTGCAACGGCGGTGGTGCCCGACAGTAACGAGATATCGAAATTTAAGCCCACAAATCACTCAATCGGTCCGATAAGTAGTTTTGGCAGGGGACCTAGATCCATTACTCTTGATCTCTATACAATATCGATATCTCGTTACTGTCGGGCACCACCGCCGTTGCAGAGAGATTGCAGAAACCATCGATTCGATAAATAAACAATTCCAACTACAGAATAACGCTGAACGTGATTAAATAAGTAATACATTTTTTTTGTGATTGCGGTGGCGGTTTCCATGAAAACTGGCAACCCCGCCTCTACGCGAATTCAGACGGAAATTAGGCAATGTTGTGAACACCATGTCGCAAATGGTCAGTTTAGGTTAGTTGAACGTGATTAAATGAGTACTACTTTAAATTGTGATCGCAGCGGTGGTTTTCATTGAAAACCGGCAACACCGCCGCTACTTGAATTCTTAAAAATCGTGTAAAAGTTTCAAAAAAGTGCAAATCATGGGCTGACTTTTCGAATTTTGCTTGGTCTAGGCGTTTTGCTTTAACACGGAGTCGCGAAACGTACCGAAACGAGCGTCAATATCGGGCGTCGGGCGTGTTGACGAATTTTTAAATCGCTATAACTCGTGTTCCCTAAGTCTCTCAGAAAAGTATAATATATCAATGGATGCGGAATCGAACGAACAATAATTCCGACAGGTTTTTATTCAATCCCCACCAACCGCAAACACTTTTTTAGGCGGTAACGTGATTTTAAATAATTACGAAAATTAAAAAAATGACCGAAACGTGGCAACAGTGGAGTCAAATTAAAATTTCTTTTGCATAGGTCGATAGAACGTAATTTTTTGCGTTTTTTGGTGTAAATACGAGCTCTGTAACTGCATTTTTGCGAAAGTTATGGATGTTTGAAGGTTACGACTTTAAAAAATGGCAACGCTGTTTCCCTGGGGTTCCTGCAAAAACGGAGCTAGGGATAAGCCTCTCTCAACTAGTACTATCAGCCTACAAAGTTTCGTACATTCCGGGCTGGGTACATTTTTCGCCTATATGAATAACCCTCTTTAGTATATGCATACAGTGTTTGCAGAATTTTAAGATTAGTCAGCGATTTATTCATTTTACGGTATAGCCTCCGAAATTCCGCCAGGTTCGTGTAGCTATAAAATTATTCACTACTTTTCCTTTTTTCCGAGGAGAGACAAGCCAACTTTAAAGATTGAAATCCACACAAAATATGCTGCTGACAGAGAAGAAAAGTCAAGGCAGTTTTCAAGAACTCACACTGATTAATTTTCTAGAGAACAAATAAAATATGACAGGAAATCCACAGCATCGCAAATGGGATTACGTGCTTTTGCACTCTTGTCATGTTGCGGCCCTAAACCAGCACAAAGTGGATCGAGTCAATGGGAGAGGTCGGACAAATTTTGGAAACTTGAAAAGCTTACAACTCCATTTATACAAATCTTTGAGATTTTAAATGTGGTTCCGTTAGTTTCTTTGTGAAATTTTCTTCAAGTAGCACCTCTTAAAATTTAAAATGTGATGATTTAAACATGACAATTTGCAGTTTTAGTCAAGACTTTCATGTCCAACCTCTCTCATTGACTCCATCCAATGTGCGGCAGTTCTGCCGTGCAACGCAAAAACGCCGTAAACGCCATTTTAAATTTTTTGGGAACAATGTATTATAGCACCAAAATTTGGGTACCTTTGGGACACCACCAAAAATTTAACCTGAAAATTTGAGGTGCATGGGTAAAACAGTTTTTATTTTATGAAGTGTTAAGTTCCTAAAAACGCGGGAAAATCTTGATGGATTTACGGCATTCTTGCTTAGCACGGCAGAGTTTAAGGACGCAAAAATTTACATAACCCCTAGTGACCTACCTTCCTTTTGCCACCAACGCAAACCGTTTTTTCCATGAGGAAAATCCTGCATGTGGCTCTTCTATTTAGTGACTATATTTAGTGGTACATTCTTGCTTGTCAATCTCCCCTCCGATATTGCAACAATCGTTACGTATCGAAACAGATGAATAGGAACACTACACTCTCCAGAATCAGACAAGTTCAGTAAAGAGTGAGCCATAAGCCATCCTTTCAGGTGTACCGCGCCGGTTACGCAAGACCTGGCACGGGGGTATAATTCCCGTCGGATACTTCTTTAACCATCCTGTGCCAATTTGATTTACTTTTACTCGAGTCTAATGCAAAACTCAATCCGTGGCTCCCAGAAAAAGTTGCCGACTTGACAACGCTGGAAAAAGCTCACCGCGATGTGGGTATGACCGCGCAAACGGTTTAATTATAAGTGTCTCGTGTAGCACTGTCGTTAAACAGCGTCGCCAAATTGAATCATAATTCGCCTGATTCGTTTGGGTTATGCTGCCGCGGTGAGGAAAAACACCGTATGAAGCCTTAGGCGTTGCCAAATTTCCTTTCGTAGAACGCGAATTTCCTGGTAAATCTATGACTATTTTCCTCTCAATTTTTCAATTAATTCTCTTCGCGATTTCACCTAAAGATTCTGACAATTTAAAGGAAATATATTCATAACTTTCCTAAAAAGTAATAATTTAATCGAGGTAAATTTTGCAACTCTCGAATGTTCATACGGCGTTTTTCCGTAGCACAGCAGTATGCGGGACGCTCGTAAAAGTGGTGACCTTGCCGTGTGCATAGTTAGCGAGAAAAATGAACTCAGATGCAACTTAACTTACTGCGCTCCTTGTGCGTGTGTTTTGCGTTTTGGCCAGTGGCGTGGCGTGTATTGCGATGTATCGATTGTTCTGCCATTTAAACCTATGGTAAAGAATCGATTATTAAAGTGTTCGCTGCGAACACCCTGTTTATCGATCCTTTCCCATAGGTATAAATGGCATAACAATCGATGTATCGCATGAAACAGACTATTTCTTTGGAGAGGGAAAAATACAATGACGCATCGATGGCTAAGAAACAATATCGCCGAACCGAAAATTTTAACGAAAAAGAGTATGCAACTTTGCTGTACTTTACAGTATAAAATACGCAAGCTGGTGTGTTTATTTCTTTCTAATTCCACATGAAAGCGTTGTAATGACGCTTTAAAGTATATAATATTGCAAAACTAACATAAAAATACAAAAAAATTACAAATATGGTGAAATACTTTCTTCTTCATTTAAACTAGTCAGTTTGCAGATAGGAGGTATTTTACTTTAGACATCGGTATTTCTGAATCGAATAAAATGCTCATATCAACATAAATAAAGGTGACAAACATGCAGTAGACCATTGACGTCATACAGAGCAAAAGTTTGGGGAAGATTTCGAAATTGTATTAGCCGTTATGAGTAGACATAAACCAGTGGAAGCTATATACTCATCAATGACTGAAAAATAAGTGGAGACAGAACCATGATAATGTTATGATCCTTTGAGATCGTATTTTGGGAATGATTGACGCAGACTTTTCGCGTTTGAAACAGCGATATGAAGTTTCATTCATCTAAGATTTAATTCTTAAAACCACTTCATTAGCATTTTACTAGGCATGCTTGATCCATACTGCCGTGCTAAGGAAGAACGTCGTATGAACATTCGAGAGTTGCCAAATTTCCTTCGATAAAATATTTATTTTTGAGGAAACTTATGAATATCCTTCCTTGAAATTTTGAGGAGCTTTAGGTGAAATTGCGAGCAAAATTATCCGAATAATTTGAAGAAAAATATTGATAAGTTTATAAGGAAATCCGTGTTTTATCAATCGAAATTTGGCAACGCCTGTAGGTTCATACGGCGGTTTTCCTTATCACGACAGCATAAGCGTGGCTACTATTCCGTCTCGATTCCTAGTTAATGCTGAAAATTTCCCAATTACTTAAATAATTTTGATTGATTTATAGAATGAATATAATTTTTCTGTTCACAGGTTCTATATTCCTGTCAATAATCGCTGTGTTAATTACGAGTATAGGTTGTTTCACCTTAGTCCGAACACCTTATGATATTCTAATGAACGAGGTGAGTGCAACATTGCATTTGGTTTTTCATAATCATATTTTTCTGCACCAAAATTTAAGGAGTTGGATTTAATTGTACTGTTAGCGTTTTAAATGCATGAAATCTCTGATGCAATTTGCTTAGATTCTTTACATGGTGTGGCAGTATATTTGCAATAATTATTTTCAAAATAAAAGGGGGGTTTCTCCAGGGAGGAGACGTAAGGGACGTACATCAAAATCGTGGATAGGTTGGCATTCAAGATGAAATTACAAGATGCCATTTACCAGATGACCTCTGGGTCGATAGACAAGAATGGCGATTAGATGTCGCAGAGCGCCCGGGCGCGCTGTAAAAGCGACTCGTAGTATGCATTCTCATAATTAAGGCAGCAATTGGGAGAAGATTTGTGTCATAATATTTAGGTAACAAAAAATGCCCGAATTGTTTCCCACTTCAAATTATCGCGTGCACTGATTGTATGGGGAGGAACTCTCATCATATTCAGGTTTTTATTCGTTTACCTAAGTTACAGAATGTCTAATGTAGAGTCCGGTAAACCAAGTAAAAAGAAGTACTGCATTGAATAATGCCCTAATAATATTAATTTTGAATCATCAAAATAATTTAATCCTACATAGAAATACAGATTAGCTTAAATAAACTCATGCCAGCCAGAAGAATAAGCCTAATCACTTCATCAATAATAATACTTAAATCAAATCAAAAATTCAAGAAACACACCGACTGGAAACTTTTTGAGAATTTTCCAAAACTGTAAGGAATGTCCAAGTCAGATTCTTTCTTAGTTTTCTCGTAAAAAATATAACATGTATGTACCTAATTTATATCCTTTGAGCCCTGATGATCCAAAATTAAGTACCAAAATTTTAAAGCTCCTTAAGCAAGTAAATTAAAAAATTGAAGGTAAATTCCTAGTCCGACGTAAATAGCCTAGTTGCTGATCGTCCTAATAAATCAACTTAACTAACTTAACTAGTTTTGAATGTCATAAAATTAATGTCTTCACTGTCAGTGTACTTTTCGTGGTCAAAATTGGACGCATTTCTGCCAAACGGAACTATGTGCATTAAAACATGAGCCCTGAGAACCCGTGAGTATATATGCATAACAGGGCTCATGCCTTATTGCACATAATTCCGTTTGTCAGAAACATGTCCAATTGTGCCGTGACGATCCGGCTACCTAAAAGAAATCGTCAACCCTCTGACGTAAGGGCATATCTCAATTTCCTCGTGATCCCTACCCTCCATATAACTCTGAGATTTCCAAAGCTCATGTAGGAATAGAGATACGCCCTTACGCCAGAGGACCGATAAAATGTAGAACGAGACCTTTAGTTTCACTTAGCATCATCAACCGTCATGCAAATGAGATTAAGGCGGTGACTTGGAGATAGCTCACGAAATATCTGATTTGATTTTAACCAAACGCCTGTATTGTGTAATGGAGATATATTTCTGTTTAAAAGACGCATCTGATACTCTGATGTTCGCTTCTGAATAATTAATATTCTCAGAGAGGGGTGGATCGGGCAGTACCTCGAGTGCAATTTCGAAATTAAGTTAAGCTTTTTAGTTGGGTGGCCTTAACTTCTTTCGATGAAGACCAAACATATGTTCTTTAAGTCCGATAAATTCCATTATTGATGAGATTAAACGGATTTAACACGGATTAGTCCAACTACATCTTATATTGCGTAATTTTCTGTTACATATATTTTTTAAATAGAAATCAAACTAACACACCGCCTTGAAAATTCTTGAAAATTGTGTTAATTTATACAGAACATACTTCCATAACGCCTAGTCAGAGTGTTACTTGGTTTATTTGATAGGAAATAAAAGATGTGAGGAGATTAAGTGTACCAAGTTCATCAAAAAGGAACCAACCCACATTGAGTTGAAACCGAGAAGAAGAGATTTGAAGTTTTATTCCTGCATAAGGCTCAATGTAGAAAATAAACTTTTCCCCGTCATTTCAGAAACAAATTTATTTTTTTCGGCTTTCAAATTTTGGCAGGAGAAAATAAATGGCTAGTGAAACTTGAAAACATTATTAACTCATTTTTTTTTGCAAATGGGGGTTGGTTCCTTTCTGATAAACTTAATCCAAACAACGTCTGAGACAGCTGCTGATTCTGGGTTAGTCCGTCCAATTAAGTTTCACAAAATCACTAAATTAAAAATGTCTATAAAAATACCTATTGGAACGATTATAACTGAAATTTCATTCCCATGCTTTAAAAACGTTAAGTTCATCGGTACCAGATAGGTGCTGTGCGTGATTTTCGAAAAACAGCTTCATCCCTTCATGAGAATAGCACGTCTCAATGTCGATTCTCTTCCATTAAATTTGACCAAAGCGGGAATTTTGTGATGAGTGTCAGGACTTCGGAATGTTTCTTTTTCCTGTAGGCCTCATCAATATTAAAGTGAGAGGCGAGAAAAAAAATATTATCAAGATCAACGTTGGTTATTCCGGTTGAATGCGGTCTGTTTTTGATGCAAGAATTAAATCCTAAGGAATTGAGGTAGGTTCGGAACTCATGCAATTTGAGCAGCTCCAATATTTCAAAACCAATCGCGATGTTGATGACCTCCAACATCGGAAACCTGACATACATTCGAACTTTAAAGCTGAGGAGATGAATGATTGATAGCATGATTGTTTTTAAAGTACTGTTTGATTTACTAGTTTCGCTCCGTTTCGGAATTCCGTGGTGTAGCAGGAGTGTGATAAGAAAAACTAAAAAATTAGCAGAACTTACCTTCATAGGCATCTATCTGCCCCCTAAAATGTATAAAATCTTAAGAGCAACGCATAAAACCTTAGGCACGCAGCGCTTCGGGGGAATGAACCGCGATACAGTCAGGGGACCCAGTCCTCAAGTTTAAATGATGAATCAGAAATCTAATCAATTTGAAATCACCAGTGCCATACATTTATTCTCACCCACTCGAACTGTTAATATTATAACATCAAACGATAAGAAACAAGCAAGAATCGATTACCCTTGCCCTTGCATTATTTTTTACCACAAAAGGTGACCTCGTCTCGGTTGAAATTTGAGCCTTTCTCCGTTAAACTTACTTAAGGTGATTCGTCAAGCTCAAGTGACGTGGTCGAACTGGCATGCGATATATCGCATCTTTTAGGTCAAAAATCTCGGCAGATTTTGAATTTTCAGCAAAAAAAAAAGGACGATAGCCCCTGCGCATGAGCCTAAAGAATCATTCTAAACCCAAAAATCGGCAAAATTCAGAGAAATGAAAGTAGGATAGTGTTTGGAAAAAAACCTCGCATTCGATACAGAAATCGATAGCTGAATCGAATGCGAGTTTTTCTTCCAAACACTATCCTACTTTCATTTCTCTGAATTTTTCAGATTTTTGGGTTTAGAATGATTCCTCAGGCTCATGCGCAGGGGCTATCGTCCTTTTTTTTGCTGAAAATTCAAAATCTGCCGAGATTTTTGACCTAAAAGATGCGATATATCGCATGCCAGTTCGACCACTTCTTTTGAGCTTGACGAATCACCTTAACTCGTTAGAGTGACGTTAGGCAAAAGGGCGCCTTTAGTCGATAGTAACGATGATTCATCCTCGTGTATACGGTTGAATTGCTTGATCTCCAAAAATAAAGTCAGGGTCAACTTCCCCATTCTGACCTTAGGAAGGACCTTAGCTCTTTCTCTTCTCGTCCTTTCTTACTCATTATCAATCGGAAAACCTAGTTGAATACTCGAGATGATTTGGCAACTCTGCCGTGCTAAGGAAAAACGACGTATGAACATTCGAGAGTTGCAAAATTTCCCTTGATAAAACATGTATTTTTGACAACATTTATGCATATTTTTCCTTGAAATTTTCAGATATTTTAGATTAAATTGCGTACAAAATTATCTGAAAATTTTGGATAATAATATTCGCAATTTTCCTAGTAAATACGGTTTTTATCGGAAGAAACTTGGCAACGTCTGACGGCTCATACGGCGTTTTTCCTTAGCACGGCAGACAGGGCCGGATTTACTTACTTGCCGCCCATGGGCCGCCTGTATTTTGCCGCTCCCTTCTCATTCGTTTTGAAACATCGATAAAAATACCATCAAGTGATTGTGCCGGAGGGGGAGGGGTGCATAAGATGCCTTTGCTCGTGTTGGACACATTTTTTGCGAAAGCCCTGTCAACATTACTAGCAAAATTTCACGGAACTTGGCGCAAAAGTTAAGTTCCGTCAATCTATCTCTGTGTGGACAAGGCCTTCCATTTATATGAACTGAACGAAAATATTATAAAAGAACAAACATAAATGTCGTTTAACTTCCGCCACCGCGCCGCGCTGACCGCACTGAGTTTGGCGCAATGCGTGAAGTATTCCTACAGTCTTGTATGCGCTATGCGTTTCACGCCGACCGCATCTGCACGCACTGTCTTTGACGCAATGCGTGAAGTATTCATGCAGTCTTGTAGGCGCTATGCGTTTCTTGCTGCCCGCTGCTGACCGCAGCGACCGCACTGTCTTTGACGCAATGCGTGAAGTATTCCGGCAGTCTTGTAGGCGCTAATATGTGTTACATGCCGACCGCCGCGCCGCCGCACCGAGGGTTTCTCCTTTTCATTTCAAGTTCTCTCATCATTGCTGTCTGTGCCGCCTCGTTCCAGGCCAAATTCAGTGTTCGGTTTCTCTCTTAGTCTTAACCCGACTAATTAAAGGTGCTTTCTATTGTATCACAGAAAGACGACAAAATGAGAGATTTACTCTCAGGAAATGAGAGATTTTGTCACCTTTTCTCGTTTATAATTTTTTTTCTGCATCCGATTTTTCTTTATAGCTACATTTAAAAAAATTGCAAAATTTGCCGCCCCCTATATTTGCCGCCATGGGCCGCGGCCCATGTGGCCACCCCCTTAATCCGGCCCTGACGGCAGAACTAACGTCTGAATACATTTTCATCTGAAGAAGAAGAAGAGGCATCGATGGTGGCACTACTAAATTGT